CAAAAAAAGAGGGGGGTGTATTTTGTGGAAAAAAAATAATTCCAAAGCCCCGGCCGGGTAAACCGTTCCCAATTTTTTCCAAAGGAGATGGGAGGTAAGCCAGATAGCAAATGGTTTACCACTACCAAAGGAAGCAAGACAATCAAACCAAAGCCAACAAGGACTAGCTTCTATATTTCTTTCCTCCTCCCCCCCCCCCCCCCACAAACTTATGGTGTTGCAGAGTAAGGGATTCAATACTTGACTTGCATGAACGCCCAAAAACCTCAAGACCAGTAAAGGTCTCATAATAATATCAAGAGGGAGGAATAAAAGATGTTGTTTTAAAAGAAAGGAGAAATCACAACCACTAGGAGGAGGAGGAGTAGGATAACGGGGATAGGATAGGAGAAATGAAGGTTATTAAAAAGAAAAAAGAAAAAGACGAGAGCATAAGAGAAAGGTTAAAACATGAAAAAAATCAACAAGGAATCAACAAGGAATCTAGGCCTTATCCGTATCCATTCTATCATTGTCTCCTCCCTCACGCCTCTTAGCCATATCTTCCTGGGCTTTCCTCATGGCATAGTCCTCCTGTTGCTTGGCTATCTCTGCTTGGCGCTTCTCCTCCTCTCTGTCGAAGTAGCGTTGAGCGATAGGGCCAGCGTAAGAACGAAGTTCCTCAATCTTGGAGACGTAGACTGCTTTGGTGGTGTCTTCGCCCTCTTCATAGAGCCAGTTCTATAACACTGTTAGTGTCTCATGGATACCGGAATGGTGGGTTGGAAAGGTGGGGGTAGATAACTTACCTCGGCATCATCCAAGATAGATCTGAGCCGGCTTTTCTCATCCCCGGAAGCGAATTCGGAGTAAAGATCGTCAAGCTTGCCCCGGAGTTCGTAAATGTACTCCTCAAGCGCGTTCTTGCGATCCTCGGTGTCAGCAACCAACTTATCCTCCATCACCATCTCGATTTCGCGCTCCATATAGATGTTCTTAAGCGTCTGGTCGATGGTAGCTGTAGTGCTGAGAACCGGCAAATCACCACCCTTAACCTGCTTCTTAACCTTACGTGTCTTAGGCTTGACGTTTTCATCCGTCTCCATAGCCTGCTGCTCAGTCAGTAACGGATCATCGGCCATTTTAACGCGTTTGCGAGGCGGCGAGGGGCCACCGGAAGCAGCAGATAGGTAATGCTGGCGACTCGATAAATCCCGAGTTTCCTCAAAATCGATAGAGGGGGAGGAGTTCAGGGCATTTGTTTGACTAGAAACGGCTAAACTCACATCGCCCTCTTCCTTGATCTCCTCTTCCACCTCGACTTCCTCCACCCAATATCCACTCTCAACATTCAGTACTCCGTGAAGGTTAACACGAGCCTTCAATTTACAAATCATAAAGTCATTCTTGGAATCTGCCTTCACGCCCTTAACGGAAAACCTCCCGATCCATGGGTCCATGACCCCTGGAAGTTTGTTGGGCTCGGCATATTTGGCCTCCAAGTCAAAGGGGTCCTTGCGGTAGAAGGTAAGGATCTTGGTCGATGGGACGGCGTTATTCTTATTAAACACAGTAAGGCTAGTATCTTCGTCCGGAATATCGTTTGACTGCTCCCAAGTGAACTCGATAGGGTATGAGACGATATCGTGCACAGAAAAGTCCCTGACCTTGAAAACCGGAGAGAGGATAGCACAAGCGAAAGCGCATCCACGCGCCACAGCTTCGTCCTGGTTGAGGGTAAAGGATAGAGGCTTTCCGAAGAACTCGGCAATTTTGTCCTTCAGCGATGGAACACGAGTGCATCCACCGACAAGCTCGATTGCGTCAATATCGCTCTTTGACAAACCGGCATCCGCAAGAGCCTGTTCCAAAGGAATGGTGACACGGCTGAGAAGGGGCATAACGAGTTCCTCAAGCTCCTCTCTCTTCATCGTTGATGAAGCATCGACATCGTTCATAACGGACTCGATATTCAACACAGACTGAGCGTTTGCCGAAAGAATCTTCTTCAACTTCTCAACGCCAGCAGCAACACGAAAGTATGCCTTAGGGTTGGTGTAGACATCAATCTTGTACTTTTCCTTGAACTCCTTTGCGAAATGATCAATGAGCGCCTTATCAAAATTCCGTCCACCAAAATGTCTGTCGTAAGCGGTCGATAAAACAGTCAACTCGCCCTTCTTGAAAGCAACAATAGAGCATGTATAATTGCTATGGCCGATATCGATAAATGCAACACGACGAGGTTTCTCCTCGCCGGTCGGAAGATCGGTCTTGGTAATGCCATACCCGAGTGCAGTTGCAGTGGTATCATTCATCAACCGGAGGAGCTTCAAGCCAGCAATTTCGGCAGCGTCCATGATGCTACGACGTTGAGCGTCGGTGAACCAAGGAGGAACACTAACCACGACATCTGAAACGGGGAGCTTGAGTTCGGCCGATGCCGTCTGCCTAACCTTGGACAAGAACATCGCAATCAACTGGGTACCCGTGAAAACCTCATCCTGACCCAAGTACTTTACTCTAGCACCAAGTTCACCACCCCTCGCTTCGACGAGGTCTGCCGAGATGAACTGCCTCTCGATGTCGAGCTCCGGCTCATTAAACTTTCGGCCGGCAAGACGCTTGAGCCCGGAGACGGTGTTCTTGAGGTTCGAAATCTCTTGGGTCTTTGCCGCTTCACCTAGATATCTGCTCTTGGGACCGAACCCAACCATCGACCTAAACACCAAATACTCAGTAAACTCATCACCAAGCAAAAAAATTGATCTCCCCGGGATGAAACCAGGAATAAACGGGAGATAAAATGAAGGTTAGAATGGTGGGAGGTAGACTAACGGTGTTGCACGATTAGAGACTTCATTGGTGATCTGCGGGTTGGAAAAAAAAAGCGTCAGCCCCAAGTCTTCTCTTTTTATCGATAAGAAAATTTCATCCGGCCCGCTATGAGTGGGGAGGTGAAAATGAATGATGAAGAAAAGAATCGATACTCACAACATCAACACCCCTATTCCTAGCCACCGCAATCACAGTATTGAGGGCTCCGAGGTCGACTCCGACGACAGACATGATTGGTAAAACCCTGTGGTGTTTCTTCTATAAAGGAAAAAGAAAAAAAAAAAAGGAAGATTGTATCTCCTTTTATCAATTATCCTAGGAACGGCAGCAAAGAGACGAGAGATCTTTCTTTTCGACTTAAAAGGAGGCCTCTCTGTCTAGGGCCGGCAGCAGAGATGTTCAAAGGTATGATGGGAGGTTGTCGGTGTGAGAGGGTGTAGATGAACTCCTGGGAGGATGCAGCAAAAAGGAAGTCAGGTAAGGTAGGGAGGGGAGGAAATGGAAAAGAGAAAAATGAAATCCGATCTCAAAGATGTGGGGTTGGGGGAAACGGTAGAGGGGATTTTTGGTGGTAGCAGTAACTTGAGCGGTAGTGAAGTATAATCGCCGGTGGTTGTATACGCCCTTTGGCTACAGTGCCGTAAAAAAAAAAAAAAGGAGGGGGAGGGGTTGAGAAAGTTGGGTTGCTGCGTTGTTATCACAGCCTCATGCTTTTTATTTAAGCTGCTAACCTTGCTAGGTCTTGGCATATCCAGCGTCTTCTAGCAACTTCTCAAGTCTTCTATCAATCTTACAATCCAATGAATTTTTTCACCTTATTTCTTTTCCCCCCGGCGTCCCAAAATCCCTTCTCTTTCCTCTTTTCATTCTGCCTCTCCCTCGTATGATGCCCGAAAAATTGTGTGCCCTAGAACTAGCCTGCTACCCATTCCAGGAATTCCCCCCCCAACGATCCCCGTGCGTCGTGGTGGTGGTGGTAGGGGGGGTTCCTACTGCTGTTGGGTACATACCCGTCTGAACATACGAGTACATTTCCAACCCATTAACCCCCCTCTCTCCCGTCCCTATACATATATCCGCGATACCGGCCCAGCCCAGCCCAGCCCAGTCCAAGAAGAAAGTATCGAAAACGCAGCATTCCGGTCCACGGGCATTTGGGAAAGACCCATTCCTTTGTGCCCCCGGGTATCCACAGACTTTCTTCCTGTCTTTTTTTTTTGGGGGGGGGGTAGGATCTAATTATCTCTTGATATCATACCAGTTTTACGATTAATTTACCCAGCCAAACTACTCGAATAGTGAGGAAGGAAGAAAAAAACAAAACAAAACAAAACAAAAAGAGCGATCCCGTGAATCGAATCACATGACTCGATCTAGCCCTTACCCAAAACGGATTTAGTTATGATATGATATCTACGAGTACTATACTCGTACCTGTATTACAACTTTCCGTTGCCTAACGCAGGGCTCAGATTCGAGACCGGTACGATATTAACAGTATCATAATTTAACAAGATCAGTCGGTGCCTTTGAGATAACATGACAACCAAGGTTCGACAGAGCCTGATAGAACCTGGCTTTTGTATCCTTTCCAGTGCTTTATTACCACCTTACCGTACCCCACCTATCCTACCCGTAGAGCGCCAGACAAAACACAACACCTTATAATATCATAATATATTTATACAGGTAGACTCACAGAACCACGCAGAATCCCTTCGTCCCAGAGAAATCAGTATCGTACCGGTATCTTGCTTGCGCGGTGCGATGGTGCAATGAACAACATTACAGGAGAACAACCCAGCGAGCGTCTACGGTATCACCCATTATAATTACGTCAAACCCCCACCATGTGTCAAACCCGTAAAAGAATTGTGGTTATGATATAGTACCCTTTGCAAGAGGTCCAGCCAAGCAATACGGTAGTTAGCTTTCTCGAGAGAAGAAAAACAGCACTTTGATCGAGAGTACCCGTAAGCCGTTGCATAAACTTGCATCGGGACCCGCACCACCTCGAATACGGCATACGGGTAGCCAAAGAGAAATTGGGGGGGAAGGGCCTAGAACAAAAAGTAAATAAAAATCTTTTGCTACCATTCATTTCAAATGCATCCTATCTTCCACAATGGTGCCATAAACTCCCATCCAGCACCCCACAACCAATTCCCCGGTTCAACCTAGACTATATACTTTTGGAAGGAAATAGGAAGGCAAGTAAGCAAAAAGGATAAATAGTGATGTCTGCAAAGAATTGCACGTGAGGGGGGGGAAGAAAAAAGACCACTCGTTCTCGACACCCGTTGGACGCCCTCTCTGCTATCCACGAACGAGCAAGAACTGGAGAAAGGAAAGGCTAACGACAGTCGGAAAGTACAAATGTTAAAAATGCATGAAAAGGCAGATATGCAACAAACCAAGTGCCACGCTAAGGATGACATGTCACTGTTCTTTCGTATATCACAGTAGACTGAGACACCAAAACGAGATGGACCGGAAATGAATGAAAACTGAAAGCAAGAACCAGCTAAAAGGAAAGGGAAAAGGAAAAGGAAAACTATAAAATAAAACTATGATATAAAAAAAACCCGCAAATAAAACAGAGTTCGCAATCATGAAAAAATGTCCCAAAAGCATCGATAACTTTTTCTGATGCGAGAAAATGTAGCTTGTAGCCACATTTTCTGCCCCCCAATTACATCAATTACTAACAGTATTTATCAGGTGAAACCAATTATTTTGTACAATCGTAAAAACACCGAAGAGGAAGCGGAAACCCGTGAAACCCGTTAAAACAAACTAAAAAAAACACAGACCGATCATTTGGACGAACGATTTGGCTTCTTTGTGAGCTTCTTCCTTTCTTTTGACCGCCCTTCCCGATCATCATCAGCATCGGCAGGAGGAGCGGCGGGAGAGCCAGGTGTGGCAGTCATTTCTACACCCTGCTCACCTCCTTCGCCATCAGCCGTCCTGACCAAGCTTAGCCGCGCGAGCGGACTTCGCGCAGCGCTCGTACCGCGGCCATTGGCACCGATCGATTGAGGACGGTGGGCAGGTTCTGGGATGGCCAAGTGACTAGCCTGGTCCTGAACCGCATTATTAGGAGCGTTGGGGTTGGTTGGTGAAGTCGACCCGCTCACTGGTTGACTGTAATTATATTGGTTGTTGCTGCTATTTCTGTTGTGATATCCATTACTGGCGCTTCCAACGGAGTCGACGGAATCACTTGACTCATTCACAGCGTTTTTGTACCCATAAACATCTGACTCCGAAGACTCAAATGCTTCTTTCCTCGGCTCAACCATGTATGCACCTCCAGCCTCACGTTGATTTGACTGCGCCACGAGATACTTTCTGCGATCCTCCTCACCCATAATGCTCTCAACTCTCCTTGGGAAATAAACCGAGTTTCCAGCAGTAGTACTTGTCCCAGAGACGAAACTGTCGAATGAGGCACGGGGGTGGAGTGGGACCCGGGGAGCGCCGGGATTGCGAGGAACGATATCCGGAAGAGTACCCATAGAGTCGTTACTATAGTTGTAGTATCCACCAGGAAGTCTCTCTGAAGCTGAAAATTGTCCTTCCACTCTGACATCTGGGTGAACTGGAACACGCTGGCGGATTTGGTTGTTCTCAGCTTGCAGCTCGGCGGCAGGTCGGAAGGTCTCCGGGACAACCTGGAGATCGTCGCCCCTAGCCTCGGCCTCTTCAATCGCCTGTTGCGCTGTCTTGGTATCATCGGCAGTACCAGCGTCTGCGCGCGGGCCCCCCCATGTGCGTTGACCAGCGGTGAAAATTCCATAGACCATATATACCCAATTGAAAAAAGGGTTGAGGATAAACATCATGGGGTACAACCAAGCTTTAAAACGCTTAAGCTTGATACCAAAGTAGAACATGAGAGCCCAATTCAATCCTAAGGATACGGCAATGAATCCAACGGGAAGTTGACTGACTTTCTGGGTTGTTGTCAAGAGAGAGAGAACCATAATAAAAAACAGGAGTGCGGTAGTACGGATGGTGTTTTGCATGAACCGAACAACGCAAAGAATCGGATATCTCTTCCAAAGACGAATGTCCGTCAACATACAAACCTCGTTGGTGATAAACCCCAAGAACCATCTTCGTCGCTGCTTGAGCAAACTCCTGTAGGACAAGACAGCCTCGGTCTTGCAGAAAGCACCGGTGCACATCTGGATCTGATATCGCTCCTTGGCCCCAATCATGAAAAGATGGGTGAGCCATCTATCCTCGCCCAAGTGACATTTTCCGTAATCAAACAAGTCGTCACACTGCTCAGCTTTATCCGCGAAGTAATATTTGGCCATCTTACGGAAGGCAGAAAACCGCAATATAGTAAGCGCGCCAGGAAGACACGTAACAGAACCACACGCTGACTCCACCGACCGCTCAAAGAGTTGACCGTGAATATATTCGATATCTTGTAGTAGAGTAATCAAGGACTGTTTCTTGGCGGTTGATGTGATGACGCCTGTCATAGCCAACATGTTCTGCTTACTACCAGGTTTAAGCTCCTGTGAAACGGAAAATCGGGGTCAGCAAACCAGAGCAAAATGTAATCAAATAGGGCTTGAGGCTGAAGATCAAGGTTTAAAGTGTCCTTGGCCGCGCCTAGGAATCGTGTTTGGAACTTTCGGAAGAGATATCCAGAAGCCAAACTCACCATTTCATACACAAAGTTCTGAATGCACACCTTGTCCAGAATACAATCAGAGTCGATAAAAAGGATGAACAAATTGTCGTTTCTCTTAAGGTATTCGGTATAGATCTTGTCAATGAGCTTGAAGGTCCTCTTCTGACAGTGTCTCTTTCCACCATGAGGGAAGCGAGAAACAGTGATACGGGTGCCACGGTAGGTGACATCCAAGCTGTGGGGATAGCTGTCGAGCGAGAGAGGAACACCCAAGCTCTCAATGGTCTTAAGATACAACTCATCCTCCTCGTCTCCGTCGAATGACAAGAAAATATGCAGGCACGATGGAGGATAGTCTCCATCGACAATCGAATCAATAGCAGTCAGCAAGACCTCGGGGATCTCCTTATAAACCGGCATAACAATGACGACCTTCGGCGCAGATGATTCGTCCAATACCGACTTGATACGGCGATGTCTACCAAGACTGTTTGTGACAAGCTGGTACACGCAGAAGAGCCATGGAATTGTCAAGAGGGCTGCGAATGAATAGAACGCAAACCATTGCAAGAAGTTGACCATGGCAATAGGGAAGAGAACAGTGATTCTAGGGGGAAGCGGGAGTGTAACGACCATTACGGGCAAGAAGATGCAACTAAAATGGTATGTTAGAATCCAACCCGTCGGCCGCCCTCAAAAATTGGAATCTAAACCTACCGAAAAGCAGTGAAAAGGACCATCATGACAATGGCGAGAGCCCGAATGTGCCATGCATCGGCCTTCTGGAACACCTTGACCAGACAGTACAAGAAAGCAGCCTATCCAATTTTTAGCATCAAGCCCCATATCCTAGCAATAAAATCTTCATACCAGCCATAAGAACCATTCCAGCAGAGCTGCCAACATAACCCCACCCATGATCGAACAATATACGATCTACAAGTATCCGTCAGTACCAAGCAACTTCATCAAAAAAACCACCCAGAGAGCTATTTACCTCAGAGACAGCCCACGGGTCTGTCAGATCCGGAACTCCATCCTTGTTCACCATGTTGAAAAAAATTAATATTAACCGCCTGAATTTTCGTTACCCCGAGGCTAATGAGTGTACGAAGGTAGGATGTTGTAAAGAAAAGGGGAAAAAAAAAATGCAGTTAAACGAGAGACTGGAATTAAGTTCGCAAAAATTATTACCGGAGAATATTCTTTCGATCCGGAGCTTTTATTCAGGTACCAACGCCCCCCTCAAAAGGTGGGCGAGGCCGGTGTTTTGATGGCTCCGGCTGGCAAGGTGCCCAGACAATCTGAAGCTGGTAACGTGGTTGTCGTTAGAGATCCCTTTGTCCACAAGCGGCAACGAACCCCGTCCCTGAACGATCGTTTGAGTGTTTGGCTAACTCTCAACAGAAAATTCAAGCGCACAAAGGAGTGTTTCGACCAGGGAGAGCCCAGATGATTTGTGACGGGGGGTTGCCGGTAAATGTTCCCGAAAGCAAGAAGGAAAAAAAGGAAGAGAAAAAAAGGCGAGAGAAGGGCGGTGATAAATAATTCAATTCGTGGCAGCTCAGGACCGTTCCGGCTCTTCCAGAGTATGTGAGGAGGGTAAAGTCGGCTGAGTGCCCAAAACGAGCGAATGACTATCGGGAGAAATCGTTAATGACAGTACTTCAGATGCTAGCTGACAATTGAAAAGAAGGCACAGCACAGAGCGCTTCTGGATACAAGGCCGTTTGCCCGCTTGCAGGAAGCAAAGTTGGAGGAGGAAAAGTGCCGGATCACACAAGCAAATCACACAATCAAAATAGAAATAAGAGGGTCACACATACCAGTACAGCAGCGCACACTACCCGGAGGCCCTAGGAACAACGATTGATAGAAGCCCCGTTGAAGAATTCGCCAGCAACACCGACCAAAACGAAGGCAAGCGGTGCGTGTAGAGAGGGTTAGAGAAGAGGGAGAGAAGGAAAATGGAACGAATGTGGGAAGAGGAAAATATCCCCGGATATTGTGGGCGGGAGGAAAAGTAAGGTAAAGATTGTGGAGCGAGTGAGCAAGAGCAGGGAGGGAGGGAAGGGAAGCAAGAAGTACTGCTTCTTTTTTTGGGAGAGGAGGGGTGGATTGGCAGGCAAGAGCAGATGAATATAGGAAGGAAGTCGATCAACGGGACAGGAACACCCGAGTGAAAGGGTGCGCAAGTCACTACTACAAGTGTACTATGCTACAAGTACCGTAGTAGGAATTGGATTGGTTGATTGTGAGACGGGGACCTAGCTGGTTATGGAGGAGGGGAGGGGGGAGTAAGTATAATAAGTGGTGAACTTGCGGTACCACTGTACTGTACTCGTACTTGTACCGCGAGCATAGCACAACTATGTCAGGCGTAAGAATACCGGTACATGCAAGTACAGTACTGCGCAAAAGCTGCAACCAGATACCTTTTTGGCAGAAAGAAAAGGCGAGAACAAGGTCAAGAGTGCCGGTACAAGCCAAAAGGGCAATAATCAGTCAAAAGACAGTTTGCGACATAATAGCACTTTCTAGCCCGCCCACGGGACGTTTGTGTCTCCCAAACCGTCCTCATCTAAGAAAGTTGCTCTCATTCTATCCTCCCCTTCTTCCCCCCTTCCCCCGTGATGTTTTGGCTCGGTGGAACTCTCAGACACTCCTCCGCGACCTCCATGCCCGAGCTAGGCAGAGCAGAGCGCTGGAAACAAGCTCGAGAGCAAGAGAAGGGAGAAAAGAGAATCAGAAAACCGGTTACAGCCCCAGCAAAAGGGGCAAACCTTGAACGAGAGTGGGATTTCTCGAGAACAAGCAATGGAGGTCCTGGGTTGATTCCGTCATGAACCGTGCGTACCACACTGCAAACATTCCTCGGCGAAGTCGGAACAACTTTTCTTTGGCCACACAAGCTCGAGTACGAGCACTCAAGCACTTGCGAGTCGATTGCCTTTGCTTTGCTGCTGCTAGGCACCACCTATTAGGAGGGCCCGTCACTCGCATACCCACCACCACTTAAGCGAGCAACGCCTAAGAAGCAAGGATCAGGCATCGGCCATCTGAGCTAACAACATACCCCTGGCGAGAGTTACCGTATTGTGTCCAGTAATAGCAGCACCTACAGCATCAGACAACCAGCACAAGTATCATACCCAGGGACATTCATTATTGCAAGACAGGCATCATTTTGCTAGTTAACCCAAATTAACCGTTCACTAACTTCTTATGGGTACTTGGACACCTCCGGGTATGACACAAGCACTATCAACAATTGTCCTGCCTTGCCGTTGACAACAAAACAATACACTCACGCAACCTTCCACCCTCGGTTTATTCTCCGGCGACCAGACTCAGATAACCCCTCCCCTCGTGCCAGTTCGAACACATGAGTTATCCGCCGCGCCTTGTACACTTCACGCGCTCCTCACAGCTTGACCTGCCAGTTCCCGTAAACCTGAAAACCCCATCCTATCAAACAAGCCTTCAAGACCGAGTGGAAGGAAGCTCACTCCATTTCTCTCCCGTTACTACTTGTAGACAGGGAAATAACGTTATTGTGAATGCTCGTGCAACCATAACGCACAATGGAGCTAAAGGCGCGAGAGAGAGGGGGGGGTGCTAACCTAATTCTCGATTTTTTGCACCTCCGATCTCCGTTTGCCGCTGCAGCTAATGTTCTCCCTCCAATCGAACTTCCCCATGCGCTCAAGTCACACAACAAATATATCCCACCACACCCACCAGAGTGTTTGAGCCCTGAAAACAGGTGGTGTCTTGCCTAAAAGGTACCGTTCGAAACCGAGAGATAAAAAAGAAAAGTGCAAACAGAAACGGACCCACTTGTGCTGTGCTCGAGTATATACTCGTACTGTACATGATCCACCCATGCTGAGAGGTTACTACAAGTATGTATCTCATTGTTTTCCCCTTTTCGGACGACAATTGAAAACATCTGGCTTGAATCGCCACTCCAGTCCCTTCTCTTATGTCGAAGGAAGGGGCGAAAACACGGTCAATCAATCACCTGCGCCGCTGCGCGGCGTATCGAATCGTTTGCCCTTTCACACCAGGCTCCTTGGGAAAAGTTTTCCCATTTCTCCGAGAGGAAGGAAGAAGAGCCGCTCATGATGAACCACCGGCACAGGCAAGGTACTTGTATCATACTTGTACCGGCACTCACAGACCAAGTCTCGGGCTTCAAGCACCGCCCCGACAAAGAGTCTTGAAATGACTTCGTCAGGTACGAGTTCGGTGCCCGTCTCTCACACTTTTGCACTTGCCGTTATTCACTGAAGGCAGCTGCGAAATATGCACCCCCATCTCAAGAAGTGTAGAAATGAAATATAATCTAATCTCAATGCCATAAGGATCACCAATTACATTCTCTCTTTTTTCTTTGCTTCACCCCGCACCGTTTGATTACGGCGTTTATAATGTTTGGAAATAAGGATCAATCCTTCCTCTTTCCCTAATCGCATAATAACCGCCATCCAGAAGGCCGAGAAGAATTCAAAAGTAGCAAAAGTGAGGAAGACTAAGACATCCGTGGTTCTCCCATTCGTAATACTCGTAGCAGGCGAAGCAAGATATCGTGAATCAAATCCAGTTCGACTTGCCTTTCTAGTTCGCTGGGTAATCTCAGGGGAAACATTCCGATATGTTTCATATTTAAACGGATGGCTCACCACATGCTT